TTTTTTTTTCAGGTTAAAAACCACCATCCTTGATTTTTTCGAAACCTCTCGCCCGCGGAACCGCCGCGGGACCACCTGCGCCGAATTCGCAGTGTTTCGACCCAAAACCGCCTCCGTCACTTCTTGGGAAGCGCCGGAGCCCCAAGGGCACACATGGCCACCCTGGGGAGAAGTTTGACCTCGACTTCCCTTAAATTTGGGATAAAAAAAGGGGAAATAGGCAAAAAAAGGAAGCTGCTTGCGTCAAGAGCAGGGGAACTGCAGTGAGGGAGCGTTTAATTTTTGGCTGTGCTTGCTCTTACCAGATTCCCAGTGTGAAATTCAGCTAAAATTGGTCAATGGTGGTTATTTATAAGTTCTAACTTTCGTTTCCTGCAGTGGCCAGCCCCGTAGGTGCCTGACTCGAAGTCCTGAGGGCGTTCAGGCAGTGAAAAAGAATCTTCTGGAGAAGGAATGAAGGAAATGACGCCCCCCAAAAAAAGGGAATTTTCACAACGCTAAGTTTCTTGCATTCAAAACACAAGAAATCATCACAAAAACGCTGAACAAAATGCTAAAGAATTCCCACCACCCCCCCCCAAAAAAAAAGCTAAATTTACGTGCTCACTTCGGAGAATTATAGTTGCAGTTTTGGCATGAAAAACTGCCGCCTCGGGCAGGTGTCGGCCTCGTTTGAGGAGAGCAGAGTGTGTTTTTTAACCAATTCTTCTAAAAATCAACAGGAAAGGGGCTACAGCACATGGCGAAGGGCTGCCCAAGCTCGTCAGCTGTTCCAGAGCTCCTGAGTGCGCAGATTTTTTTTTTCTGGGAAATCAAAATTATGAAACGTCAGCGTTTCCTTCCCCTCAGGATGAGGTGACGCCTCTTCCCCGCTGCATAAATTGAGGCGATACCCAACGGAAAAGGATCAGAGATGTCACAAGGCGAAGGCACCGTCGGCCTCTGTGAGAAATGGGATTTCGTGGAGGGAATGGAGGAGGAAAAGCAGAAGAAAGCACCTAAAGGAGGTATTGGGGGGAGGGAGTGGCTCTGGGGATCCAGAGACATGAAACTGGAGGATTTTAGCTCTTCGAAAACGGTCTTTTTCCAAAGTTACAGCCAAATTTTGATGCCTGATTCCTCCGTTGCGTCCCGGTCTGGGAAAAAGAGGTTTGAGCATGGAGAACGGGGCGTTGGAGGTTGTTTTTGGGAGTTTCTCTCTTCTTTGTGCTCTTCTGTAAGAAAATATCTGTTGGGTGGGAGTTACTTGGGGCCACCTCACCCCGTTTCGTCTCCGACAGTCCTGTCTCTCCTCACCTCGTCTCCGGAGAGAGCCGTCGCGCTGCTGTACGTGCTTCTGGCCTTCACCTTCATCCTCTTCATGGCCCTCACCATCGTCAGCCTCCGGAGAGGTGGGTCTGGCACACACCTTCCTCCAACCACCCCTGCCCAGCGCGGGGTGGGCACCGTTTGGGGGAAAACCCCGACAAATGGAGACAAACGCAGCCCCGAGTTAGGACCAAAGGCCGTTTTGCCGCTCGCCGGGGCCGGATCCGGCGCGAAGGCGAGCGCTGTCTTCCTCTCCCCTAGTCTCCGCGGCGTGGGAGGCGTTGGAACGCGCCCGGATGCGGAGTGAGAACAGCCACACCGCGGCGTGGCACAACCTCTCGGAGGTCCAGCGCACCCTCGGTACGACATCTCGCCCCAAAATGGCTCCCGGGCACCCGCTGCACCCTCAATACCTGCCTGGATTTCCCCCCCCGGTGCTTGCTGGGGGGCTTTTTCCGGCAAAAAAACAACCGGAGCCGCTTTCCATCAGGACAGAGACGGTCAGAGCTTGTTTTGAGCTTTTTGTTCTGATTTTTCCTCTTAGATAAACAGTTCTCTGGCGAGCTCAAGGGGATTCACGGCCAATTTCTGAACGGTAGGCCAAGGAAAAGGTGGTTTTGGGGAAATCTGGGCAGAATCCCGAATACCGGCTGCTGGCAGCAGTGAGACGGGGTCGAAAGTGGAATTTTTCCTCCTTCCAGTGTCGCAAGAAGTGGAGAACGTGCGGTGGGAGGTGACACGGTGCAAAGAAGAGTGTGGGAAGGAGCTGTCCGATCGCCTCCGCGTCCTGGGTGAGAGCCTGATTTTGGTGGAAAAATTGTTAAATTCCGTCCTTCTTGGTTCCTGAAACACGCAGTGTTGGGCAGATGCTCCAAAGATCCCCGAAATCCAAAGATTCTGATCTTAAGGAGTTTGAGATATCGTTAAGTATAATGTTAAACAGAAAAAACACCACTTTTCTCAGCCCTTTGACAAAAAACTCATCCAACTTTGAGGTTTTAATTCCCGACGTTTAAAGGACACCCGGAAAACACGCCGTGAAAGCCACGGTGTAAATCAGGACAGAAAGGAAAAGGGGAAGGGAGATAAAAATTGCGGGTTTTTAGGTCTTTGCAGCAGCTGAATGACTTTTTTTCCCCTCCCTGGCAGAGGAGGGCCCCACACTGGAGCAGGTGCTGCAGCAGCTGGCGGAGGTGAAGCGGGAGCAGAGCCGCGCGGCGACGCTCCTCGACGCGGCGCTGGAGGAGACGCGGAACCTCTCCGGTGCGGGGCAGCGGTCGTGCCAAACCCGTGGGCATCCCCCCGTGCTGGCTGGCACGTTCTCCATGTGTTTTTCCCCCCCCCCAGAAATCGTCTGCACGAGGGGCCCCGCCGGCTGGCAGCAGTTCGCCAGAACCTGCTACTTCTTCTCCACCACCCCCAAACCCTGGCTGGCAGCCAGGGATTCCTGCGCTGACTTCGGCGCCCGGCTGGTCGTCGTCGACACCGAGCAGGAAAATGTAAGCCGAGAAAGGCCGTAAAAAGCGGAAAAACCACCGGATTTCGTGAGTTTAGAGGAATATTAGACTCAAATTGCACAACTGGAGAGCTGGAGGTTACGCACGGGCGACCGTGGAGGTGGGAAAACGCAACCGGTTGAGGTTCCCGCTTGGTTCCGAAGCGATTTGGCCAAACTGGATGGATCTGTCCCCAAAACTGGCATGACTGAAGCGTTTTTTGGGGGAAAAGCCCCTGGGGGGGTAGGTCTGTGTGACCCCGGACCCTCCTCGCAGTCCTTTAGGAATTCTAGAGGTTATTTAGGAATTCTGGATGTTATTTAGAAATTCTGGATGTTTTTTAGAAATTCCAGACATTATTTAGAGATTATTGTATTTAGAAATCATTGAAATTATTTAGAAATTCTAGACATCACTTAGAAATTATTTTATTTAGATATTATTGGAATTATTTAGAAATTCTAGACATTATTTGAGGCCGTAAAAAGCTATTTAGAAATTATTCTATTTAGAAATTATTGAAATTCTTTAGAAATTATTGAAATTCTTTAGAAATTCTAGACATCACTTAGAAATTATTGTATTTAGAAATTATTGGAATTATTTACAAATTCTTGACATTATTTAGAAATTCTGGATGTTATTTAGAAATTATTCTATTTAGAAATTATTGAAATTCTTTAGAAATTATTGAAATTCTTTAGAAATTCTAGACATCACTTAGAAATTATTGTATTTAGAAATTATTGGAATTATTTACAAATTCTTGACATTATTTAGAAAGTCTAGACGTTATTTAGAAATTCTTGACATTATTTAGAAATTCTGGATGTTATTTAGAAATTATTCTATTTAGAAATTATTGAAATTCTTTAGAAATTATTGAAATTCTTTAGAAATTCTAGACATCACTTAGAAATTATTGTATTTAGAAATTATTGGAATTATTTACAAATTCTTGACATTATTTAGAAATTCTTGACATTATTTAGCAATTCTTGACTTTATAGACCGAATTACCAAAACATAACCCAAACTGGGCAACAAATTGGCGATTCTGCCCCAATTTAGACCAACTGACCCAGTTTTTCAAAAGCTCATTTGGTCTGAAAAACACCTTCTTCCTCCAGATATTAGAAATTTCTGTGTTTTTTTCCGTTTGCGACGGGAAACGCCGCGCGGTTTTGGCACGTCCGTGGCACGTCGTGGTTGGACAGGCTCCCCGGTGTCACCGCCTGGCGTGACTGAATTCCTGACTTTCTAATTTCTGAATTTCTAATTTCTAAATTTCTAATTTCTAAATTCTTCTGGAATTTCTCAACAACATCCAGAATTTCTCAGTAACATCCAGAATTTCTAATCAACATCCAGAATTTCTAATCAACATCCTAAATTTCTAAACAACATCCAAAACTTCTAAATAACATCCAGAATTTCTCAGTAACATCCAAAATTTCTAAATAACATCCAGAATTTCTCAGTAATATCCAGAATTTCCAAACAACATCCAAAATTTCTCACTAACGTCAAGAACTGAGCCGACCGCGGCGCCGCTCAATCCCGCTGCCTTCCCCTCCGGCTCCTGACCCTTCTTTTATATTTTTTTCCTCTCATTTCCAGAAATTCCTGGCAAACCACATCATGGCTCACCGGGTTTTCTGGCTGGGCCTGAGCGACACGCACAAGGAGGGCGACTGGCAGTGGGTGGACGGCCGCTCCTTGTCTCTCTCGTACGTTTTTTTGCCTCATCGGAGGGAAAATTATCCCAAAAATCAGCTCCCTTCTCCCTCAGCCCTTTTTTTCCCCCAAAAAAAGCACCACCCCCTCCAGAGCGCACCCATCCGCTCTCGTTTCGTGTGTAAAAAACATGGAAAAAGGTTTGGTGGTGCCGGGGTGTGGCGGAGGGAGAGGTAAGAAGTTGCAGCAGGCAACTTTTCCCCCCCACCAAAAAAAAATTTTTGGCTTTTTTTCCCCAAAATTCACTCTGGTTTTGGGGCTGAAAACCCACGTGGGAACGCCCAAAAAGCCGCGGCGCCTCCGCAGTTGCACCCCTGGCTCGGTCGGGACCCCCACCCGGAGACGAAGGGGTTATTTCATGGATCTCCTCATTTTGGGGGATTTTGGGAAAAACCCCGCCGTGGCA